ATCTCCATGTGACATCCCCTCACATACCTGTATGTTGCCAACTTATCCCCTCTGAGTCTCCTCTTCTCCAGGCTGAAGAGACCCAGTTCCCTCAGTCTCGCCTCACCAACCTTGTGGCCCTATGCTGCACTGACTCTAACCTGGCTATATCCTTTCTGTAATGAGGGGCCCAAAACTGAGCACAATACTCCAGTTGCGGGCGCACCAGAGTCGTATGGTAGTAATACCTCTCTCGATCTAGAAGCCACACTTCTGGCTATACAACCAAGTGTGGTGTTCGCCCACTTAACCACAGCATCACACTGCTGACTCATGTTTACCCTGCAGTCAACCAGCACCCCGAGGTCCCTTTCACAAGTGCTACTCTCCAGCCACTTGTCACCTAACCAGTACTTATGACAGTTATTCCTTTGCCCCAAGTGCAAGTCCTTGCTCTTATCCACATTGAACGCCATCCTGTTGTCTCCTGCCCACTTCCATAGTCTGTCCAGATCCTTTTGGATCTGGAGTACCTGCTCCTCAGTTGTGGCCACTGCCCCAGTTTTAGTATCGCCTGCAAATTTGATCAGCAGACTGTTCACCCCTTCTTCCATGTCATTGATCCCAGTTATCCCAGTAGTTCAGAAGTTAAGGGGAAGAGGCTTGCTCTGGCTGTGCACGTGGTGCGTATTAGTATGTCAATCAAGTGCAGAGACAGAGCAACCTGATATGCCTGCATTGTTCCTCCAAGGTCTTCTCTTTAAGCACCCATCAAATATAGAATCAAGCCTATGGAAGATTTGCGTTCTTTGTGGTCTCTGTGCATCACATATGGGGCTCAGTGCCTGCATAGGGCCTGCTCTCAGGAAGATTTGTTGACTCTTTTGGGTCTACTCTTTTGTCTTACCTTTCCTCTCCCTGATGGCACTAAATGAAGACATTAAGAAATGTGTTCACTGTGGAAGCCATCTATCTTGCACAAACACTCGCACCTTCTGCCTCTTCTGCCTGGGAGAAGACACACCAGGCCTGACTTCTAGCTGGCTTGTGGAGTCACGCCTTTATGGCCGCTAACTCAGCCATGGTGGTGCCACCACAATGCAACCCCACCTGGTGGGCACCCCATTTGTAGCGGCCAGAGCTCCACCAGCCACCCCACCCATTCTTCATCGTGGTCTCTGCGCAGTGCCTGTTGTCGGGAAGATTTTACAGCTTTAATGGTTTTGGCGGGAACTCCGCATCCCCCTCCCCCTTGGTATAAATGGGTGGAGTACCCACCCTTTTGCCAATCTGCTTGGGACTGTGGTTTGCTGTGCCTCGGGCTCTTTTACTTATCTCATTGCCTTTTTTTTCAATAGCACTTTCACTTCAATTATCTTTCTACTTCATTTACTTTCCGATATTTACTCTTTCACTTCCCTAACTCGTTTTCTACCCTTCCAAACCTCACGCTACATTTACATTCGTCTACCTCAGATCCCACACCTCCTAACCCAAGAGCAAGGCGCTATACGACACCCAGATCTACGCTCTCTGAAACTCATGGCTTGGCTCATCCAACAGCCTCTATGCCAGGGGCCCTCAAACTTTTTTTACCAAGGGGCCAGTTGAAAGCTGCAGGTGCTGGGCGTGGACCAGAAAGGTGCTGCCGGTGGTGCATGCAGGCCGGGACAGGGGTGGCGCATGCGGGTATGCGTGCTGAGGTGGGGATGGGGCACATGACAAGGCAAGGTGAGGCGAGATGCAGGTGGGCACATGTGGTGAGGAGAGGCAGGGGCGCACACGTGCTGCGAGGCAGGCGCACGAGGCAGCAACGTACTCGCTTGGAAATCATTTTCTTTGAGCGAGCAAACTGCATGCGGCGTGAGGAGGACAGCGGTGGGAACATGCATGGGCACGCACGCGGTGAGTCCAAATGGGTATGGCGGGCCAGACTTGGCCCCTGGGCTGTCGTTTGAGGACTCATGCTCTGTGCAGTCAATCTCTTCGATACCAACATCATCCTTGGTACCAACAATAGCTGCACATTCAATCTCCTTGGTACCAACATCACCCTCGGAACCAACAAGAACAACTCCGGAATCGCCTACTTCAATACCAATCGTCTCTTCGATATCAATGTTCTATCCAATACCGACGCTGCACTCAGAACCAGGATCCACTTCGGTACCGACAATATCCACAAATTCAACGAATCTTCACTAAGACATTCAGTTCATTCTACAATCTGCATTGCGGCCAAATAAACAACGTTCCTACAATGCCAAATGGAAATGTTTTACCTCTTTTGGTGCTGCTAACCAATTTCTGCCTCAGTCTGCCACCACTGAGAACGTTTTACAGTTCCTACTCTTGTTACACCATGGGGTCTGAAGCCTTCCTCCATTAAGGTGTATTGCAGCCATCTTGCATCACAGAAGCTTCATAGGATGTTCATCTGTATTCTCCCACCATCTCATACATCGCTTCTTACAAGAATTACAAAACCTTTAACCTCCAATCCAATTGGTCATCCTGACGTGGAGCCTCTCCTTTGTCCTACAGGCTCTGACTAAACCTCCATTTGAACCCATGACTACCGTCAACCTTCGACTTCTCTCCTGGAAAACTACTTTTCTAGTTGCCATCACATCAGTCAGGAGGGCCAGTGAACTGTGTGCTCTACATGTTGACCCTCCATACCTCAATTTTCATAAAGAGAAAGTATCCCTCTGCACAGACCCTACCTTTCTTCCTAAGGTAGCAACACCCTTTCATCTTAATCAGGACATTGTTCTACCAGCATACTTTCCTTCACCTTCGACACTGATCAAGTGCTCCCTACATAGTCTTGATGTACTTAGGTCCCTGGACTTTTATTGATCACGCACAGTCATTCAGGAAGACCAAACTCCTCTTTGTCAAATACTTGAAACATGATAAAGGAGCACCAATAGGAACATAAAACTGTCAAAATTGATTGTGGAAACAATTGAACTTTCTTACTGTCTTGCCAAATTGGATTTGCCAATTGCTCCAAAAGGACACTCTATGAGAGCTGTCTCCGCCTCTTCTGCTCTCTGTGCAGGCATTCCAGTTCTTGACATCCGCAAAGCTGCCACATGATTGACTCCATGCACTTTCGTGGGACACTATCACTTAGATGTCAGGGCCAGACAGGATTGCTCCTTTGGCCGTGCCATCTTGTCAGCAGTTCTCCAGTGATGACACCTTCCTGCCTCCGGGTGGGGTAAGCTTGTTAGTCACCCATATGTGTGTGATGCACAGAAGAGACCATGACAAAGAAAGGCAGGTTGCTTATCTGTAACTGTTCTTTGAGTGGTCATCTGTGCATTCACACAACCTGCCCACTGGCCCCACTTTGGTGTCAGTGACTGGGTACATATCAGGTTTTTCCCATGGTACTACAGCTTTCTGCCTTGTCAGTCCCAGCTGGAGGCAAAGGGACATTCTTCGGTTGACTGGTGAAAGGGCAGGTATTCCATCCATTCATACCAAGGGGGAGGGGGGCACAGAGTTCTCAACAAAAGCATTAAAACTGTACAATTTTCCTGACAACAGGCACTGTGCAGGCACAGCACCCGTATGTGTGTGAATGCACAGATGACCACTTGAAGAATGACAGTTACAGGTAAGCAACCTGCCTTTCTGCCCCCTCCTTGGGAACACAGAGAAGGAAGAACACAGTGTGAAGAAGGCCAAAAAGACCACAAAATGGTGGAGGCCCAGTAGGGCAAGGACAAGTGCATTGGCACCATCTGCTCATGTATCAATGCTGGTTTCTCTACTGGTGTCATGCATGCACACTCTGGTGAAATTCCCAGATGCGCATGAGAAGTTGACCATTTTGGTGTGAGTGATAGCTCAGAGTCTGAGGATGATGGGGAGTTGGCTGACCCAGACAAGGCTCAGAACTCAAATGCTGATAACAGAATTGTTGTTGCAATGGACAGGCCTGCACCTGCAGATT